ATCTGCTAGTTACGGCGACGACCTGGGTTCGATTCCCAACCTGGGGACAGTGTGTGAAGTCCATTTCTGTTTCTCCCCCAAAGTGATATTGCTGGAATATCGAAAAAGCAGCGTAAAACCATATTCACACACTAAACGTAAAGCTGTCATAGTTGGAGGGAAAGAAAGAGTCGGAACGCCAAGACTTCGAGTTCAATACATAAGGTCCAAATGCAAAAACACCCACCACCTCACGGTCGTTCAACGTTGATCATTGGTTACTTATTCGTTTGGAAAACCAGGGTTTTGGAATAACGGGGTCATACTGTAATACTATACTGTACTATGAGAACAAAATAGTAAATGATGTTTTAGCGTTTGTCCATAGTCATGTGCTCTCTGTGCGACTGTTTCTACAAGTAAGAATCTTACCGCACGCTAGATGGATTGTCGTAGCTGTAGTTTTGATCATTGATGAGATATCTTCTCTTGTCTCCACTGAAGAGTTCCACTGTCATTGCGATGCCTGGAAGAAGGACAGTCAAGATATAGCAAATAATAACATATGCAAGACATATGTAAATTATCACACGGTGGCTCAGGCATTGATTGCACAGCATTTCATTATGTATTGAGCCTCAGCGGTACACTTTGTTCGTGGATTCCATTCCTATTTGGACCTGAGTATGTTTCTTGCTGTGCTCCTGGGGTTTACTCAAGGTATTCAGCGTCGAAGCACTACGCCTTTTCCTGTCATTCTCTAGATGACTTTCCTTTATATAACACAAGTAATCCCTGATTCCAAGGATCACGTGAAATGGTCTTGAAACAACTTTCAACAATAGCAGGTCAACTTCATTTGAGAACTCACACAGTAACCCGAGTGACTGATGTTAACCAATTAGTAAAATTGTACAAATATCGCGGATCACTTTTCATGAAACCCCAAACCAGTGGATCTAAGTACAACTTACTCGCGCAACCAGTATTCCGAATGTGACTCTAAAGGACATAACGTGTTGTTCTTCCCATTTGCAAAACATGTGACCTGAAAGCTTGGGGCCCGTTAGTTCAGGAGGAGGCAGCTGAAAAAATTGAAATCGCCCCCTCCCCAGTACTGATTTTGTTTGACACTATTTTCAGTTAGTATGGTGTCTTGGGCTTATGAAATGGCCTGTAATACTCTTAGATTGTGGATCAGTATTTTTACAGATCATTATATGTGGTAGGGGTCTGCTGAACATTTTCGCCACATTTGGCTTGCTGCCCGACAACACCTCAAAGTTGATCATGGATAGTTTTACTACTATCAATCTGATCACTTTCATTTTGACTTCTGTGTTTTGCTAAAGGATGTAGAAATGTTTTGACATACTTTTGTTTTTCAAAAAAAGAATCCAAATGGCCGCCAGTTTGTTTTGTCTTGTTTTGCCTTCTCAGCGCTTTAATTTACATAAAAATTAATACCGAATGTTTACATTGTTTCCAGTTGATACTTTTTGTGTTTTTGACACTTGGCTCTCCTAGAGTGATAGCTTGGGTACAAAACAAGTCATTTTGTATGGTCATATCGTGGTAATATATTGTTTACTGCTTATTCTTTAGCAATTCTCCAATTTTTCATGGAAATGTGTGGTGGTGATTTATTTATAGAAAGTTAACATTATTTTTGTAAATATAACAAGTTGTTTTTGTTTCCTCTTTACTTCTAGTGTGACGGCATGTTCAAAATTAAAAATGGCGGCCATTATAGTTTGACTACATATTGTAACACCCTTGGGGTGCACGTGGGAAAGCAAATAACACAAGGAGACTATGAAGTAGAGAAACAAAGTTTGCCGTGATATATGCAAACTTTGTTTTTTTTGTTTCAATGGCAAGAATGTAGATGGGATTTTGTTAGCAATGCAATAAAATAAATGATGCCAATAAATATCACACACTACTCGGCCTATATATATATATCTTATGACAAGGCTCAGTCTCCAAGGAAATAGTTATTTTGTTATTTCAACTCAAATATCTTGCAGAAATGATACTGAGTATGTAATATAGTTATTAAATTGATTGTAATTTGACTTAAAATATATACCTAGAAGCAGTTATGATGATAAATCTAAGTCAGTAGAGGTGCCAGGTAAAAACAAGAGCAGGAGCCTTTAATCAGACCGAAAGTCTTATTGTATCTAAATCGAGTGACCCGAGTGAATCAAATCCGAATGCGAATCCGAATCGAGTGTCCCAGGCCTGGACCAGTGATCGTATTTATAGGCATCATCAGGAGGTCATGTGACCTTTCTCAATCAATCAGAACACAGGTTTGATGGCTTGCATACAAGAAACACTGCATAGGCAGTGTCATTTCTAACACAAGTAAGTGGTTACTAATTGTCCTTATGTTGTCCTTCTTGTCCGAATACAATTAGGACACAGTAGAAATAATCAGGACATCGAGACAATTTGTTATAATTATAAACGGACAATATCTTTCCATCAAACGTGGCGTCAGTGGCCGCCATCTTGGTTTGTTGTCGGCTCTATGACAAGTGAAATTTACAAAAGCATCAGTTTCCTTTATCATATGGTATTGTCCTTATGTTAAATAAAGTGTCCGAAAAGATCGACCATGGTGGACAAGTGAGATTTGTGCAAACATGTGATATAACAAGAATAAGGACAACGATTATATTCAGGCCAAGCGGCGGGACGACATTTTGACAGACGTCAATTGTCTACTAAGACCATTGACAACTTTGGCCCAGTGTAGCATCAATATGCCCTGTATCCAGCAATTGATGTTGTTCTATGTGTCCTTCAACAATTCGGACACTAACAAGATTGCTAAAATATTTGGTAAATGCAAACAGAGAAAACGGACAGCAGACTGTCAATTAGTGCCTAGAATGACTGTCGGCAACAAATGTCAAAACACGAAACGACTGTCATATTGCAGGTACAAATGTAGGAAATACAGGTGGTTATACATTGTCCTCTATATCGTAAAGCAATGCATTTCTACCTTAGAATGCAGGAAAATACCAGATAATGAATATGTGGCTTTGATATAAAAACGGATATCCAATTTATAATTAGTCACTCAACCTAACGTAAATGTTGTTGACAGGTCACCGTAACCCGAGAAATGTCAATCAAGTGTAATTTTTATTAGTATCCATCATGGAATACACTTTAAAACACTTCTGAGCAAGAAAGTTATCAGAAAATCGTCATTAACAAGTGTAATAAGTCATTGTTTATCTGGGTCAAAAGTCACACTTACTTTCTATAAATAGCTACGAAGCAGGAGTGTACACAAGAAATACACTCTCCTACCCAGAGTTCCATGCGGCAAGCCAGCATAGTATCTCTGCCTAAGGCCAGAAAAATGTGACGATTCGTCACATCTTGCACCGTCCATTCAATATAATTTACATATTTCTCAACTCTTTTATTTTTGACGAGTCTACACAACTAATTAAACATCTTTGATAGAATGGTTTAGTTCATTGAGAAAATATCCTAAAACATGTAACACTATTTCGATTTGCGTAGCGATCCTTTGTTTACATAGGTTGTACGGCTCCACGTGCTGTCATCGAAGCTGATGGAGAGCAAACGATGCAGCCAGTTTGACATCTAAATATGTACTGTCATAGACCGTACTGTCGCAGTTGTGGAAGAATATATATGTAACAATGTATGAAGAGAGCGCCGAAAAGCTTTCGTGAGTCCAGTCTCTCCTTATTATGACTATGCGCGTTTGATTACAAACAAGAGAAAAGTCCGGTCACGTGATATGCAAATTAGCCTGTGGCAGTGATGTTATGTTAAGTCATCGCTGTGCCGGAGTGTGCAAGAAATAGTCCCTGACAAACATCGATGTTAACACTCAAAATACACAATGATTCAAGACAGTGAATAAATACATCATTTGGAGACATGAAATACATAAGTCTGTACAATAATAGTACAGAATGACATCAGTAGTAGAATCCTTCATGGATGTAAATAGCGTAGTGACACACAGTGGTAATTAGGTCATGTCTTACAGGTGCTGCTACCGCGAACGTTCAGTGCTTGATAAAACATAGCTGTTAACAGTGAATATGCCCCCTTAGAGATGCCTCAGATCTGAGAACTTCAGAACCAGGTAACTGTCTATGATGTTGTTAGGTTATTATTTACTTTAATGTTAAAAATATGGATGGACATTTCCAGATAGATCGTGATATAACGAAAATAGGTGACACTGATGATTGACAAAGTTTACATGATGTTTTTAATACTTATACTATATCAATTTAGATTACAATATACATTGTGGATGACCAAATTTGTGCTGATATATAAACCAAACAAGTCATTTGGTGTCAAATGTTTAATGCAGTTTTGGAATAGAACAAAATTTCATTGATATGGTCAATGAAAGCTTCATACTCCTAAAATATTTAATGAAATACCATTATCCAAAAAGTGTTTGAAAACTATGCTTTGTGTCCGATAACTGCGTCTAAGCTTTGGTTGTAGTTATTCATTTTGTTCTATCAGATAACTCTTAATCACTTTTGACACATTCAGAAGCTTACAATTAACCCTCCTTTTCACGTATTTTTATTTCATATGTTACTTCATGTCAGAATCGGATTCATCTACTGGCAACAAGTCAAAGGTGTTCAGGTAACAATCACCTGACATGCAAAAGACATGCCTCTATGCACACTAGATCATTCTGTCTGCATTGACATAGATCTCTCCGCTGGCACACTGACATTTTGCATTTACATGATACCAGTTAACCAGTCCATGGGGAGCAGGATCTCTCGACATCAGAATAGGGATAAACTGACCATCACAAATGCTCTACCGCTTTAACCATAGTCAGCTGGTGAAGGAATGTTCATGATTGGTTGCAGAGACTGTTTTCAAGCATGGAAACATGGTTTATCAGCACAAATTTGGTCATCCACAATGTATATGTAGTCCAACTATAATGGCCGCCATTTTGAATTTTGAACATGCCGTCACTCTAGAAGTAAAGAGGAAACATAAACAACTTGTTATATTTACAAAACTAATGTTAACTTTCAATAAATAAATCACCACCACACATTTCCATGAAAAGTGAGAAGGCAAAACACCACAAAACAAAATGGCGTCCATTTTGAGGTGTATTTTTTTTCGAAAACAATAATATGTCACAATATTTCTACATCCTTTAGCAAAACACAGAAGTTAAAATGAAATCGATCAGATTGATAGTAGTAAAACTATCCATGATTAACTTTGAGGTGTTGTCGGGCAGCAAACCAAATGTGGCGAAAATGCTCACAGACCCCTACACATAAAATGGTCTGTAAAAGACTGATAACACAATCTAAGAGTATTACAGGCCATTTCATGAGCCCAAGACACCATACCTACTGAAAATAATGTCACACAAAATCACTCCTGGAGAGGCTACGAAATTCTATTTCTAGGCCCCTTTTGAGATTCTCCTCCTGGACTACAACGCTTTAGGTGAATCTAGGAATCGAACGCAGGACAGGACGCTTGTAGACCTATGCATCTCTACACAATGAATGGCAGTGCTGTACACCAACTGATCACCCGTGAAACAGATAAGAGGAAACTTACCTTTAGAATGCATATGGTCGTATCCCTCGATTAAGTATATGGTGTCTCTCAGGATCTTCTTGGTACACCTTGATGTACACACAGATTCGAACACGGTCCGGCTCCGTCCAGGTGGGATCACAAGGTTGGTTTCACCTGTCGTAAGGACGCCCGCGTCGTAAGGGCGAAGGTTGGGGGTGTAGAAGATGCTGAAGCCTGAGGCGTCCATCTGTCCGGATATCTTTTTGGGATTGTTCCAGTGAAGCTAAAACAAACACAAATTACATATACAAAAATAAATTGTGCTGACACAACTAGACAACAATTTAACATGAACAACAATCCATAAGCTTATGATGAGACACAACCTATTTATACTGTCTGATCTTTGAGACAATGATTGGTTGCTGGTATTTCAGCTCTCACGTATAATCATTTCACATTGATGTGGCATCAATCATATGTCACATTATCATGTTCTTTCAACAAATACCAATTTCCTGTTTACATAATGCTTGTGTTATTTGGTCATTGCGAACAACGTCTATTTTTTCATACAGGACAACAAGAGCAGTATGTTACCAATTATATTTTCTACTGTTCCATTATACAATGCTAAGATGGCATACTGACTCAAACTAGTTCTGTAACGGGAGCTTTCCAAAGAATGCGAAGTTTTTTTCAACTTGTAATACCCACTGGTATTTGGCTGTTCACCATATCTGGGACAATATTTGAATCACTGACAAAGGTTGGTATTGTCAACAAGAGGGAAGCCACCCGTGATTATAAGACAAACAGGTAGGCGTTCGATAAGGAAACCCGTGAAGATCCGGGTTAGAATTGGCCTTGAGCAAACCATTACTTGTCTTATGAGGCGACAGAGGGATCTGGAGGTCAGGCTCGCTGACTTGGTTGACACATGTCATCAAATACCAATTGCCTAGATCGATGCTTATGTCTTTGGTCAGTGGATTGTCTGGTCGAGTCTCTCTTATTTACAGTTCGCCGTTTTACGCCTGGAATATTGCTGAGTGTGGCGTTAAAGAACATCCGAGCCAAATTGATTAATAAAATTCTGAGGTTTGAATTCTGAGGTTTGAAATACTGTGGAACAGTTTTGGGGACTGGTATTTGTCTGAGAATGTTACTTCAATCTTCTGCATCAGTTCCGTTGTTTGCAAATTTCATATACAAGAACATGCTGCCCTTGTATGAAGCGATATCAGGAACTATACACTCTTTAGCCTTTATTGTCACCAGAAATGCATGGAAGACTTTTGGATCTCATGGCATTGAGCTTTGTCATTCATTCAGTTTTGTCTTAGAGACAGACTTTTTTTCATAACTTTATTGCAGACAGGTTTGCTTTTCCCTTGACATCGCATGTTCATGTGCCCGAACCTTCGATGCCTTAACATCAGGGTATATGCCTGAAACCTATACCAAGAGGCACATAAACATGCCACAGTTGTAAATGTCAATCACGTGAGATGAGATAAAGTATTAATAATTGCCGGGTTCAGGATTATTGTATTTACATACCAACAATCCACACCAAACATTGGCTTCATAGATCATCAAACCAATGCTTATGACCTGCCCCAGTTTTATAGACCTAAAATCATTGTCCCGTTTGATTATTTACAACCATAATTTACTGTATATTCAGTTGAATACTTTAGTAAGTAAATAAGTGTACCTCAAGCAGGACCCTCTTGTAGCCAGTTTTGCCAATTCTGAAGCCAGTTTCTTTGTAGAGACACTGACCAGGTATACCTACACCCCAGAAGGCGATTATGTCCGGGCAAACAGGAGAAAACAGCCCACAGTCTTCAGGGCGGGCAATGACGGGCGCTACAAGGGAGGATACCATACCACTATTATAAACCGAACCAACAATTGTAATTTTTGAAATATTACGGTTGTGTATATTGTCCAAATTGGTCAGTATAGTGTAGAAAAAACTACTCAATATATGGCGGGAATGGCGACGAAAATTACATATTCGTTATTATTACAAAAAGGCTTCCTGTTATGTCTGAAGTACGGTTTTCTGGACAGATACACATCTTCTGACGACAGCCAGCCACTAACACACATTAAAATAGAATAATATGTAAGGGGAATGAATATTAGTTCCAACGAAAGTACCATTTTTGCTTTGTACTTTTGGTGAAAGGTAAGATGAAGATCCAGGTTAGAGTTGGTCTTCTTCAGCAACCCATGTTATGTCACTGGCAAATTAAACAGCATAGTAATCACTTTGCCATGTGCGCCGACAAACACCTCCTTGTCCCTGTCAGCGTGATGCATCTGGAATCCTTTTGCGACTTTCATTTTGATATGACATAAACTGTTCAGCGTGGGGAAATGTTTTGACTTACGAGGGATGAGAAAGGTATTCTGTGACCCTATTTTCGAAAGCGTTTGTTTCTGAATGACGATGCAGTTCACTCTACCGACACCATCGAAACTTTTTGTGTTGTATACAGGGGGGTTGAACAGAATATCCGCCATTTTGTTTTTATGACGTAACGTAGGTGTGACCTTTGTGTGACCTAATCGATTGTTGAAGCCCCACCCTTCCCTTCCGGCCCAAGTGTGTGTGACCTTCAGGTTCACCTTAGTGGTATTATTTTATGAGTTTGCCGACTCGCGTGTTCACACAGCAAACCTTAGACTAATGCTTAGTCTCTGAATATATATAATTTTGATAGTAACAAACAAGCCCGTTAAATTGAAAAGGAGCCCTAAGGAGACCAGAGATTCAGAAACTGAGGAAATCTAGACTTGCTTTATTTAGGGCTTTAGCACTGCAGAGAGGGCATGGCAGTAGGGAAAATAATGTGGTTCAGGGACTGTGAGACAGACTAAGCAAACGTGTTCAACGTAGAATGAGGGGGAATTTAGCTGCTATTTATAAGGTCAAAATATCAGAGCGCATTTTGTTAAATCACTAACCAGTTTAAAATACGCTGTCACACAAGGAACAATAGTCTTAATGTTTCCATAGCTGTCAACAATAAACGGTTGTAGCTGTTAAAATTCATGTGGGCCCGTATATGCGTGTATACGGGCGCTGTCTATGCACTACTGTCAGTACTACTACTAACAGCAGAATCGCTTCCTCGCTGAGCAATGCATTAAGTAAGTGAGTGAGTTTAGTTTTTATCTTGCACTCAGTAATATCCCAGCTATATGGTCTGTAAATAATCGAGTCTTGACCAGATAATCCAGTGATCAACAGCATGAGCATCGATCTGATGATGAGATGTGTCAATCATGCTAGGGAGCCTCACCACCCGATCCCGTTAGTCGCCTCTTACGACAAGCATGTGTTCCTTCTGTAACACTTGTGACTACAGTCGCTGGGTGTAAAGCCATTCTTGGTTTAGACACTGTACTGTGCGGACGTGTTACCACTGCTCTGGGATATCATGGATGTGTGTGGACATTATCCACTCGACAAGACACTCTATTTCTGTCCACGAACATGAAAAAATGGTCTCCAGACTGTCCGTATTTGGCCCTGGTGGGAGTACCTCAGAAAAAGGTGGCCCGCTGGGGTAGTCATGTGGATTTGCAACCAAGAGTGTGATGTAAAATGTGTGAATATTAGAAATAAATCAATGTTAAGAGTACCTCTGCATTGGTTGTCTATGTATAGTCTTTTGTCGATGTATAAATAGAGGTCATTGAGATCCCTAACATGATAAGAGCTTGTTTGCTAGAATTATTATGGCTAGGTACGTGTTGAAACATTACGAATTTTTAAGGTTCATGTTAATGTTTCAAGACATTGAGGACATTCGACAAGACATCTTAGAAATGAACAGAGAACAGTTTCTTGCCGCTGTCACATGTCTCTTCAGTTACGGCTCAGCGAGGAAGCGATTCTGCTGTTAGTAGTAATACTGACAGTAGTGCATAGACAGCGCCCGTATACACGCATATACGGGCCCACATGAATTTTAACAGCTACAACCGTTTATTGTTGACAGCTATGGAAACATTAAGACTATTGTTCCTTGTGTGACAGCGTATTTTAAACTGGTTAGTGATTTAACAAAATGCGCTCTGATATTTTGACCTTATAAATAGCAGCTAAATTCCCCCTCATTCTACGTTGAACACGTTTGCTTAGTCTGTCTCACAGTCCCTGAACCACATTATTTTCCCTACTGCCATGCCCTCTCTGCAGTGCTAAAGCCCTAAATAAAGCAAGTCTAGATTTCCTCAGTTTCTGAATCTCTGGTCTCCTTAGGGCTTCTATTCAATATAAACGGGCTTGTTTGTTACTATCAAAATTATATATTCAGAGACTAAGCATTAGTCTAAGGTTTGCTGTGTGAACACGCGAGTCGGCAAACTCATAAAATAATACCACTAAGGTGAACCTGAAGGTCACACACACTTGGGCCGGAAGGGAAGGGTGGGGTTCAACAATCGATTAGGTCACACAAAGGTCACACCTACGTTACGTCATAAAAACAAAATGGCGGATATTCTGTTCAACCTCCCTGTATACAACATTTATGGAAATGGGATGGGCGAATAATTCTCTATGATCTGCTTGGTAAAGCTAACAGTTACGACAGCAAACGTATTCCAGTATGGCTATAACTTAAGGATAATAGGGTGCGTGAATACATGCCCATATCACGACAGCCATAAAGGAGAATGTGCTGCAGGAATACATGACACCATTTACGACAACCTTTATTCAGAATATCTGGCATGAATACATACCGCCATCATGACAGCCATACAACAGCATGTGGTGCGTGATGTGAAAGTTGTCAATTTCCGGTTTGGTGGCAATCATGTGGTAATCTTGTGATTCATCCAGGTCAAAGGTCATGCACCTGTAGGTGGTTTCATTGTCGGGTATTGCTGTAAGTGGAAACCTCAGAATCCGTTTCTGGACTCCTGCAACACAGTATCGGAATAGAATCTCTCTCTACCTGCTCTCTCTCTCTCTCTCTCTTCTCTTCTCTCTCTCTCTCTCTCTCTCTCCCTCTCCCTCTCTCACTCACCTTTGTCTGTGGCTCCAGTGCAGTTGAATTTACTACTTTCACATGGAGCTGTGATAAGTCCATCACAAGTCTGATTTGAAGATATATCACAAAGCTCCCTAATGAAATCAGCATGTACTGAATCAGAAATATTATGCCAACAAACAAACAGAGGTGGAGACACTTTCACATTCAAGCCATGCTCCACCTGCCCATTTCCGATGTCCCCAGCCGTGATATTGCTGCAATATTGCTACAAACGTAAAACCATACTCACCACTCACCCATGCTCACTCACAATCTAAACTTACGAGGCATGCCAAGTGTGAATTGAGCCTATGAGCTGTCACGTGTATGAATAAAATTAAAGATAGTCACCGCCTCCATTATGTACGCAGATAATGGGACACTTTCAGATTTTCAGCAGATACAATTAAGTATGAACTCACGATGTACACAGAATGTGTATAAAAAACATCAATCTCCTAAAATTTACATCTGCATATTTTTACGAGCAGTGATGAGACCATTTTTAGAGGGTCAACAGAGGGAAACCAAGCGTGGCCTACACATGAGCATAGATATGTATGAAAAAGACAAGCGGTTGGACACCTTCCGATTGATCAAAAGATAACAGCCAAGCGTGGGATCAAACTACATATCTGTTTTACAACGCTGAGTGGTGGGACAATTAACCTTCAAAGAAAGGCGTAATCCACACATTATCAACCGTCAAATATAATAAGAAAGAATACAAGTTCATACCCAATTTCCTTAGAAAATTACAGGGCAGATTAACATAAAGGAGTATTACATGTAATGTAAAACTTACGTCGTTGATTAATGTAATATAAGCATATAATTTGCACAGCTGAAATGTGTTCCAACCTTGGTGAAGACACAAAGAACACTGTCTTCAATCAAAAGGACATACCTGGGTGAGTGAGACCAGCGGTCCTTGTGGGCGTGGCTCCAGGTGTCCAGATGCACTGGGGGTCACCCAGTTCCTGACCATTGGTCATTCCATCACCATCAGAGTCCATGTTACACACATTAGCCCACTGTATGGGCAGAGAGGGTTTGGGTGAAATACTTGCTTAAATGTTCACACGGGTGGCCTAATCGTCTTAGGTGTGGCAACTGACGTGACATAGGGTGAGTTTGACACCCAGATTTGCTTCGATTATGCATGAACCGTGGTTTGATACTGTCATGCCCGTTTTGCCACGTGGATGAAAAACTATACAAGGCCTTGCTCTGGGAAGTTAACACGCTGCTAATATATGTTTATTTGTTTGTTGTTTAAGGCCACACTCAGCAATATTCCAGCTACATGGCGGCGGTAAATAATCGAGTCTGGATCAGACAATCAAATGATTTTGCATGACAATCGATCTAAGCAGTTGGGAAACGATGCCATGTAAAAAGCGGAGTTACACCAAACGGGTGTGGTGACGGTGTGTTGACGGGTATGTTGATGGGTGTGGTGGATGTGTATTGACGGATGTGTTGACGGGTGTGGTGGATGTGTTGACGGGTGTGGTGGATGTGTTGACGGGTGTGTTGACGGATGTGTTGACGGGTGTGTTGATGGGTGTCATGGATGTATTGACGGGTGTGTTGACGGGTGTGGTGGATGTGTTGACGGGTCAATGCTTTAGTTCCAGTCAATGCTTTAGTTTACATCGAAATGAACTATTTTCATTCAGTTCTGCTGTGAATAGCAAAATCCTATCCAGTTTTCATGCTCCAGTCAACAAGTCTATCTAGCAAAGAAAACGTTTCTATTTTCTCACCTTTCTGCCTTGGTTTGCAAAATCAACACCGAACTGATTTCTGTCACCCCCGCCCAAGGGGTTCACATGCCCAACCCCCTGCCACATCTCCCCCTTCACACAAGGGTGGGTCAGGTTGTGGCCATTGGGTATGCTGTCCCTGTACCCGCCATACCCATTAATTATTCCAACACAGATGAGGAAAGCGGATAAGCTATAGGAGAAAAAGGAACACATATATATGAACCCTTAAATACATCATATGTTTAATAATGCAATTTGGATAAAGTTTATACATGTCAAGGATTATTTCTTGATGACTTAAAGAAACGGTCCTCAAATAAAGATTGCAGTATACCGGAATACGGTGACTGGGTAATCCATACTGGACCTCATCCTGCGATGAGCGGCCAGAGGCACAGTCCAGAACACAATGTGGTGTTTGAAAACCAGTGTTTGGATGTGTCACGGCGCCAACTACCGTCAGGGGAGACTGGACGGAAAATGATCAGAATTGTAAGCAAATGCACAACAAGTTCGTTGGATGCAACCATTTATATTAAAGCTAAGTACCTGCTCAAGCATGAATGCACTTGCACCTCAAGCACAACAACAAGCCGCTGAAAAACAACTAGCTAGCTAGCGTAAACTAGCTCAGGGATCAGACCACACAGTGACTTGTGACACCTAAAGAGTGGGGGATAATAAGGACCTAAACAGGGAGAGTATCGGCCTATAAACATTCAACACCCCAAGTGACCTATAGGACAAACAGACCAGAACAAGATGTACCATCACAAAACAAAACAGTCTTGAGCTCCCAAGTTCGGTCCTCAGGTCGTCCCAAGATGAAGCAATTGACAACTAGGTAGCTGGACGACATGCACAAAGCAGTGTAGACTTTCCCAAAGTGTGTCTGGACAACTGGCCACGTCAAGCTCTGACGTAAACGCGCGGACGTCGCAGAGGACAATACACGACGCGAGTTGAAAGCTTGCATCTAGCCTCTGACTAGGGGTGTCACGATACACCAATCTCACGATACGATACGTATCACGATTTTAAGGTCACGATACGATACGTATCGCGATACATAATTTTCGCGCCTTTTCATAGCATTACCTTACCGGCAACGTACGCGCTCGCTGATTGGTCCATCAAAATAGTCTAGCCAATCACAAAAGCTGTTAGTTTCCAACCTATTTTTTAAGTAAAGCTAGCTACATCTATTTATCGGAGCGGTCTTGTGTAATTTTACTATCAAGACTTTGACGGAGATGGATATAGCATAAAAAATTGAATCGATAAAGTTTTAAAATAGGAATCGATACACGCAAGCATGTATCGCGTATCGTATCGTCAGCAAAATGTATCGATGCATCGATACATTCGCGTATCGCGACACCCCCTAATATGTTACTTCTGACGGAAAGCCACATTTCAAAATGACTACTGCCGGGAAGGCCACATTTGAATTACATGGCTGTAGCCGGTAAAGCCACATTTCAATAGATTAATTAATTAATAGACTGAAATTATATTTAAAAAATTAATGGATTACCGTAACCGGTAAAGAGTGTCCCCATGTATAATATTTTGTTTTCACAGGAAACGAATAATCTTTCCTACTCACAAGCGTGGTGTTTAGCAGTATCGGTAAAAGACTGTTCCTACACTAAACGCCGAAAGAAACGTTACCCTCCTACCTTTATGAATTGCCTAAAAACTATCAAAGATATGTTAGAAGGTATTAGTTAACAAGAGAGCTTAACAACACAGCTTTATGCAAATCACGAACCATATTCTCAAACACATTCATATTTAGGTGAAATGTATCTTTTTCCGAAGAGTTAAAGTGTCCTATTTTCGACCATGCCGAAATAAAACAATAACTGTGATTTAGATATCCAAAAGAAGGTTGAAATAAAAGTCTGCCTTGAGACAGAGATAACCCATTTAAAGTCACCATTTTTCAATTACTGAAACAAGAAACAACTGTTGTAGAGTGAGCAGATTTCAGTCAGCTGATTTACATTAGTGAAAACAAGTAAAACATGTCTTTGATCTTGTGAAAAAGTGTTTAGGAACACCTAAAATGATCTTTGTTAACACTTTAGCTTTTTCCAGTTTCTGTGTACACACAGCAATATCAATCGCCAAAACGTTGCAATATTCGACAAGCAGTATTTGCATGAATACAGAACCATTGACGCTCGTATTGCATCACTGAAGACCAAGCTTCTGAACCAACACCTGAGTGACATGGAGTATACGGACCATGTGGGCGACCTCCTTCATCTGTAGATGGCAACAAACTAAACCATTATCGTATGTATACATATTAAGATTTATTATGTGATAATATTATATGTAAAATACATATTAGTATATTATATTATGCTAATTATAGAAATAAAATCTGTTGTGATCTGAATACAATTATGTAGAAACATGTCTTGTTTTGTTAAATACGGTAACCTGTTTGAATCACTAAGCATGTTTGGACAGCATAGCCGGGAGAGCCACATTCCATGTTCACGCAACCACAACATTAACTATGTGCCGGGAGAGCCACATCAATTGTTCTGTGATCATTGGCTATCGGTTTAAAGGTTAATATCGCCTCACACCCCAGTGGTTTTGTGATTCTTACCAGACAGAAGAAGCCCCATCCTAACGCTATGGAACATGGACAAGACACCGCCATAGAAGACAGGCCTACGTCAGTCATAGAAGATGGAGTTACAACAACGATAGCCATGAACAAACGACGACAACTCCCACAACGTAACTTCATCGTGCGGTGAATAGACTCTGTTTGTTTTCATGTTGACATGTGTATGTGTATATGCATCATGGTGTGTGACCGCTACATATGGACACATGCGTGACCTCAACATATGGACACTTGTGTGACCTTGACCTCCCTGTGAAGTTGGGCCAGTTGAGTTACCGATTCTGCAGTTAATGTGATTTCATGCTATCCATGTAGTGAATATTATTTCTGCATTTGTTCATGATGCTGCATTAATTGAATTAACATGTGGGTACCCCTTTAGTTTATTGCTCCGCAGCTAGTATATTGTGTTATTTAAGTGTTTTTATTCTACTGTGTATTTATTTTGTTGTCTTTAGTTAAGCATTAGATAAGATTAGTTATTTTATTTAGTTGCATAAATTAATTATTGGTATCAATTTCACATCTGCTTTATACAACCACGATGTGTTTGTACACGTGTGTGAATGTGTACTAGTTAGTGTTAGGTAGTTAGTAAAACCAACTATTGACTATAGTTATTAGTAATTAGTGTTAACTTAAGTTCCATATCTTAATAATTGTGTTCATAGTTTAGTATTTTAGTTTGTTTTTCAGTTGTAGGGTGAGTGTTATGTTCATTCATTCCTTTCGTTATTTCGTTCAGGCAATTAAGGGTTTGTATTTTTATCGTTCCCTTCTTATATCTTCCTTTCATATGGCTTGGTATTATTCTTTCTTTATGTAATGTACCATAATTATAAGCCCCTGCGCGCGTACACCTGCACTTTACTTACCTGCATTAGTTTATTATCTAAACTCAAATCAAAGTTAACTCTAAACATGTAATTTATTTAAACATTTAACTTATATTCGTTAAGAGTAAACGCCTATATCATTTACGTAAATCAATGTAAACATTTCATTAAATACTACATTTAAAGTATCCAACATGGCTGAAGCGGAAATGTCAGAAGACGAGGTGAAACAACTTGTTTCGTCACTGAAGAAGTTGGATTTGAGACCCAAAGCCGATACACCTCAGGATCTCTTAGCGTGGATCTCATCGGTTAGCATGTTAACTCAGAAACATCAACCCTTTATTCCACCTACAGTTGCGCTAGCTAAGACACGACAGCTTCCTTACTTCTTGGGGGATAGGAAATGGGACGTAGACTTCGACCAATGGAAACATGAATACACATGTCTTTGTACAAGATATTCGGAGCAAGATGTCATGGACGCCGTACAAAAATCACTTCGTGGGAAGGCAGCAAGAATCGCCATGCACATTGATAAGGATGCTCTCATTGGACTCTCTTATCACCAAGCTGGATGGTGTTTTCGGGATGGTGCATACAGAACACAACAGCATGACAGAGTTCTATACTGCCAGGCAAGGAGAGGAGGAATCAGTTGCCGATTGGGCACGCAGACTCGAGGACATCTTGGATAAAGCCATCATGTTAGAAAAGGTGAAGAAAGGGATGTCTTACTTCGTGACACTTAGTGGATAGGGCTTCGCTTGGACCTGAAGGACATGTCAAGTCATAGGTAGGATCAGGGAGGATCACTGGAAGTTTTTCTCAAGTACCTACGACAACTGGAACAGGATCTGTGACAAAGGCAAGCAACAGTAAGGAGGTCTGCAACTAGTAAGTCGCTTGTAACAAAGGAGCAGTCAGAACTACAAGAGATCAGGGGCATGCTCAAGTCGAAGTCACGGAACAAGGTCAAGGTAGCCATTGGAGTCATGGTCAGGGTCATGATCAAGGTTCAAGGCCAGGAGTATGGGTACTTGCCACCCAGGAACTGGACATGTCCACCAAGGTCAAGAGGGAACAAACCTTTCTGTCAAGATCGAGGGCGAGGTAACCCTATTGGTCGTGGAGATCTGGGATGGTTCCAAGGACCCTCAGAACATGGACGGCATTCCTAGATCTTTCCCATGTGGACAGCGAGGTCACATTCAGCGTGTATGCCGTGCACCACTTTCGGACCAGGGAAACTTTTAGGGGCCTATGGGGAGGGGCGGACCATGGGCCTAGGATACAAGGTCAACACAAAGCAACAGTTCATGGCCGAGTCGGTTGGCGAGCCAACTGAAATCAACATTCTTGTCAACAGGATCATGACCAAGGCTTTGCTGGACACTGGTGCTACGATCTCATCTATTGCCGAGGCATTTTATTGACAAAACTTTCCTGATGTACCTCTGGAACCACTAAAGCAGTTTCTTCATGTTGAATGCGCTGATGGCGAACCTGTACAGTACAGTGGCGTCATTGTTATCGATATAGAGGGGATCTGGGAGTGCATCTACCAAGAGTATGCTACTTGTTGTGCCAGACAGCCAGTACAAGACAGTACCTATCACACTTGGGACCAACATCTCATCCATATACCTTGACCGGTGTCAGGACAAGTTTGGACCAAGGTTTCCCAAGAAGGCAAATCTCCATACACCATGGTATTTAACCTTCTGGAGAATAGTGCTAAGGGGGGAAGAATTAGCCAAGAGGAACTACTCTATCAGTAAAGTTAGGAGCCAAGAGCCTGCTTGCAAGATAATCCCTGCCAACTCGGAGATTCATATCTCAGGTTATGTTGACCAGCCCCTACCATATCATGCTACTCATGTCATAGTTCATCCAACTACTGGATCTCAGATACCAGATGACCTTGACATCAAGTGGTCAGAAGCTTCATGTCGACATACATGTATCTAACCTCCCTATAAGAGCTATCAGCATGCCTTGCAGTGCAACACTCTGTGAATTGCAAGTTGTCAAGCTGGAGGATGTACCAAGCCCTACTTATACTCAGGACTATAGTGTCCTTGACCTAATGGACTTCAATGAGTCAGCCGTGTCAAGTGAGGATCTAGCACAGGGAGACAAGTCTTCACTGACTACTTGGACATCTTCTCTACCGGCGACACGGACTTAGGCCACACAAAAGCAGTGAGACACAGGATTGACCTCAAGGATGACATCCCATTCAAGCAACGTTATCGGCGCATACCATCTGCCATGTACGAGGAAGTCAAGGAGCACCATAACCAACTTCTACTCTGTGGTGTCATCAAGTGTCATCACGTTCCCCATGGTCATATAATGTTAGGAAGAAGACAAGGAAACTGCGTCTGTGTGTGGACTTTCGCCAGCTCAACCACAAACCATTCAGGACAACTATGCCATTCCAAGGATTGAGAAGATGTTTGAGGCACTTGCACGATCTTGGTATTACACTACGCTTGATATGAAATCCGGGTATCACCAGGTAGAAATCGAAGAGGCAAGAGCAGCTTTTACAGTTGGGCCCTAGGCTTCTATGAGTAAAATAGAATGCCCTTTGGACTTTGTAACAGCCCAGCCACGTACCAACGACTTATGAACGAGTGTTTTGAGGGACTTCACCTGAAGATATGCCTCATCTACTTAGACGACATTATCATCTTCTCATCATCATTTGAAGTGCATGTGGATAGACTGAAGCAGGTGTTTCAGCGGATTAGAGAGACTGGCCTCAAACTCTTGCCTGACAAGTGCTCCTTCTTCAAGAAGAAAATCAAGTTCCTTGGTCATGTCGTTTCAGAGGAAGGAATTATGGAGGATCCAGACAAAGTTGAAAGAGTACTGAATTGGCCACGACCATCAAGTCCAACATAAGTACGACAGTTCCTTGGTTTTGCGGGCTACTATTGAAAATTCGTAAAGGACTTCGCCAAGATAGCCAAGCCACTCTCAGCAGTCATGCCTCATGGGAAATCCAAGAAGTCAAAGAAACCGCCAGAGGAACCATGGCACTAGTGGAGGAACAGGAAGAAGCTTTCAACCATCTCAAGGAACTTCACCACCAGTCCTAGCGTACCCTAATTACGGGACACCATTTGAACTTCACACGGATGCCAGTGGAAAGGGATTCGGTGCTGTATTGTATCAGGAACAGAATGGTGTCAGGTAATAAGTTATGCAAGTGGAGGACTAGGGAAATCTGAAAGAAACTACTCGGCACATCGTCCGGAATTCCTTGCACTCAAATGGTCCGTATGTGAGAAGTTCCACGACTATCTGTTTGGAGCGAAGTTTACAGTTCTAACATTCAACAACCTGCCGACTTACAAGTGCCAAGCTGGATGCCAGAGACCACATATGGCTAGCTGCACTTGGAGCCTATGACTTCGACATATTCTACAGACTGGGATTGAAGAACACGGACGTGGATACTTTGTCAAGGCTACCAGAATACCAGAAGCTCTCCTTGGAACAGCTATCCATGGACTCAGTCAAGGCAATCTGTGGAGTTGTTCATGCCCAGCCCTACGTGGAATCATTCTGCCTCTCAGCAGCATCAATGTGGATGGAGAGACAAAATTACAACTCGTACTTCTATCAAGGTTAATCCAGGATGCATTGCAAGGCCTTGATAACGACGTGGGACACCCAGGACATGACAGAACTCTATCACTGCTCAGGGACACTGAGGACTGGATAAAAACCTGCAACAGATGCTGGAGGAGGAAGACACCAACCAACACCCGAGCTCCGTTAGTTTCCATCGCCACCTCACAGCCTTTGGAGTTAGTCTGCATGGACTTCCTTACGTTAACAGGAAGGGTGGATTCCAGCACATCCTAGTCAACAGGGTACTCCCCTATCTATCTCATGTTCGGAAGGAACCCAGACTTCCAATTGGTCTTGCCTTCAGGATAGAACTAAACATGAATCATAACAGATTGAACAACTACGTTCAGGCTCTAAGGACAAGATTGGAGGAGTCTTATAAGGTTGCAACCAGAGCATCTATGATGTCAAGGTCAGGGGAGCTACAGTACAGCCTGGAGAGCGTGTTCTAGTGAACATCCTAGCTCCTGATGGCAAGCACAAACTTCCTGTTAAGTGGGAAGAGGACCCG